TGCCCTCGCGACCTGTTTGATTCACAGGTACACCCGCAAAATTAGTTCCGCAAGTTCCGCTAGGAAATTTCGCGGTTGAAGCTTCGCCATTGGCGTTAGCAATCTCTCCTATAATCTCTGCCAGGAGCTCCTCTTGTTTGTTACCGCTAGCTGTTATTATCAGTTTATTAGAAGAAACATAATGCAAACAGTTAATAGTTTCACTATCAATCACTTGCAAACGATTCCGCATCATTTGAACCCCTGCCGAACCGTCTATCATTCATTTTCGGAAAATATGATGCCAACTTTCGGACAGATAGCACCACATTTTATAATTCCTTAAAAAATTCATAAAAAATTATTTGAGCACTTGCAAAAAGAAATGTTCAGCTAGCTTTCACTTGCAAACCAATTGCATACGATATAAATTATTGTAATAATTAATGTATGCCATCAGAGTGTCAACTTTCCGGAGCTTAAACAGTAGCAAGGAAGGGGTTAATCTGTCAGCGATGCAATTTCCAACGGGATCATAATATTAGTTGCATACTAAAGATAATTCGTTTAGTCTGTCATTTTTGATACTATTCATTCTGTAATTATTCATTACATACAACCTCAATCATTCCGTTGTGCTCTTTCTTTTGAGTTTTCGTCGTGCGGAGTTGGTAGACACATCGCAACGTGTAATTTCTCATATTAAGAACAGGAATTTGCACACTAAATTGTTGTATTTGTGACGATTCTCTAGGGCTCACATTTCGTCACCCCCAGTATTCATGAAGAATACAAACAACAAATAAAAAATTTGGAATCATCCGTACGGCAGTGTAGCTGAGTTTTGGAATAAGGAAAACATGAAGAGTGTCAAAAATTATTGTTTACAGCGACCTGTGTGTGAAACAGTGGAAACGACGGAGAAGTAGGGGAGTATCCCTCCAGTAAGGAGATAATCATAATCGTGGATTATCTTCAAAAAGAGGCAATTAAACAACGAAACTCAACATTTTAAGTGATTGTGGCCTGATAAGTGATTTTTGATACGCATATCATTATTGAGATGGATGGAGCAGTGCTCATACTGATTATTGCGGCATCAACAAATTGATGTAAACTCCATTTTGTTCAACTTTATTATGATAATAAATGACAAGTGACCATAATATGTACACCGTTTTATGCTCCATGTCTTATGGGCAAATAAGTGATCAGGAGATTTTGGAAACAGTATAGAAATAGTTGTCATTAAACATAGGTTATGGAGAGTACACTGTGAACTGTGACATATCCATACATTATTTCTATTTGGCGTCGTGACAAGTGGAATCGTGCGGAAATTATTGGTGAGTTCAATGGTAAATAACCGAGTAATTTTTCAATATAGAAAGGGATCGAGGACACGTAGTTAACGAAAAGTTTTTTTTTTGGTTATGGTCAAGTAGAAATCGTCGCGGAAGTTAATGTCATAGGAAAAAACGTCAGGCAACTTTTTAGTAGGATAGGTATATCACTTGCAATCAAAAGTGACTTTTCATCATGTTTTCATAGATTTGTTTTTTTCTCTGGGTTACTCCAGTCATTGCTTGCATAAAAATTCAAGCAATCGAATCCTTTTTTGTTACACTTTAGCACTTCAATTCATCAACGAGCTGTTAGGTTTTAACCCACAGCCAGTTTCATATACAACATATTTTTCATACATTCATACGGCAGTATGTTTCTCAAAACGCTGTGATAAAATGGAAGAAGCATGGTTTCCTGTGGTGAAAGTTTATTTTTTGGTACCGCAAATTTACTAAATTTTTTTTGAAAAAAATAATGAGGTCTTAGAATGAAAAACCTGGATTTTTTACTCCTTTATGATGAAATCTGATGGGACATGAAAAACAAAAAAAATATAGCCACATTCACTTATAAGTAATAAAAAAACGAAAATTAAAAAAAAAAACAATTTCTAAATCCGTTGATATTTATGGGAGTTACGCTTTTAAAAGCTGAAAAAATGACAAAAAATCATAGCAGGTTCTTGGTATCGTCAAAAAATCTCAAAAAACGGAATAATCATCTAATGATATGCAGAAGTAAGCGTTTGAAGTTCGTTGAGTTCACTCAGAATACTCCATCCACATCATAGAGAATACTATACCTAAAATATGAGATTTAGAACGTAATTTACGGGATCTCGTACAGTACGGATTCGGAAACGTAAATTACGGGCTAAAACCACCAAGATTACGTCTAGAAATGCCGTAAATTAGATTTTTTTAGATTAAATTTTTATGCAGTAAATTACGATTTCTAACGGAAGCTATGGAAGAAGGCTTAATTATTTCTCTCAGAATTTGCCATCTTAGATTTCTTTTATCTTTCAAAATTTTCAAAATTTCGGAAATTCCCTTTGAAAAATGTTGAAAGAGAGTCACTGAAAGTCATGTTCAAATGACGGTATCTTCAAATGTGAAGATTTGATGTTTCCCAAAAAAGTTTTTCTTATAAATGTCCTCGCATTTACGATCCCGATCATAGAGGACGATAAAGGGAGTGTAAATTACGGGGTCGGACCCCATAATTCACCAGATCGAAATTTATAATTCACTGTGTGGGTCCTCGTAATTTACGTGTTCGGAATCGTAATTTTCGTGATCGACCCATAATTTACGCCATAAAAATCGTAATTCACGTTTCGATCATACCTACATGGAAAGTTCGATTTTACTTTCCAAATGACCGGAAGAATCTGAAATTTCGTAAATTACATTCTCAATCTCGTATGTGAAGTATAGTGTTTTCTGTGTATATAGTTGAAGTTTTTTACAAATTTATTACGACTTTAAATTTGGTTTTTGTTTTTTATGTCTATGCTGGAATTAATTAACCCCAGAAAAGCCATGAAAAATAAAGGCCAATTTGTTTTGCTCATTTATTTGAAAGATTGTGCAACCTTAGCGAGCCTTTCATAAAGTTTGCACTGCCAATATAAATGGAGTAATAAAAGAAAAAAATAATTATTAATTCCACCAGCAAGACTTCGTTCCAGTCACTCCCATTGCGACCATGAGAGTAGTCTGATGACCTGTCGAATGGCTGTGCAATCTCCTTGGGTTCCTCCGGAAAATTGCACAAATCAGGAACCTTGAGGAAGAACCAAATTACTGTTTATTAATTAATTAATCAATTAATTGATCTGGTAAGCATGATTTTATTTCATTGGGACCACCAGGGGGAATCTGAGAACAAGTTGAATGGCAGTGCAAACTTGATGTGATCCGCTAGAGATTGAACAACTCAGCCACAATCAGAGAGAAGCAAATTGCTGTTCACTAATTGATGAATTAATTAATTGATTTTTTAAGCACAACTTCATCCAACTGGGTTAATCAAAGGATTCGGATGACCTCTCGAGTGGTTGTAGAAATTTGATGTGATCTTCTAGAAGATTGCACAACTCATGAACGGTGGAAGAAATTAAATTATTGTTTATTGAGTAATTAATTAACATAGAATGAAACTTCTTAGTAAGATTTCATCTTATTGAGTTGTGCAATTTCCTTGAGGATCAAATCAAGTTTGCACTACCATTCGAGTGGTCAGCAGATTCCCCTGATGATCCTAAAAAAATGGAATCGTGCTTACAAGATCAATCAATCAATTAATTAATAAACAGTAATTTGTTTATCTCTGATTGTTGCTGAGTTGGGCAATCTCCTGATCAAGTTTGTACTACCATTCGAGTGGTCGTCAGATTCCGCCGATGGCCCCAATGGAATGAAATCGTGCTTACAAGATCTATAAATTAATCAATTCATTCATAAACTGTACTTTAGCTCTCGCTTAAAACAATATTCAGTAAAAATTACGGAACAGTTACGCACCTTTTCAGTGAACTTGCCGAAAAAAGTCCAGAACGTTCACAAAAAAGTACGAAATGTTCAGTGAAAAAATGCGTAACTGTTCCGTAATGTTTACCGAATAATGTTTTGACTGGAAGGTTACCGAACAGACCCGTAATTTTTAAAGAATTTATCTCTCCGTGTAGTGGAACGATTTCTTCTATATAGAATTAATCATTATTTTTTACTATTCATTTTATTACTCCCTTTCTATTGGCAATGCAAACTCTATGTACGGCTCGCTAAGCTTGCACAGCGTTCTAAACGAATACATAAAATAATGTAACCCTTATCTATATATAACCCTTACATATAAAAAATTGAAAATTTCTAACGTCGTAATTAATTTGTGAAATCTTCAACTATATATATACATCGCTTCGCTCGGTTCGATCGCGTTTCTTTATCCCTTGGGACATAAAGTAGCACATGTACCATGTCGAAAAGCATTTTCTCCCGGGGGGCGCATAATATACTATTATAGTTAGAAGATTTTATAGAAATTGTGAAATGCCTTGATGTTAACTTCTTCATACGTGGGCAGAGAAAATGCCTTAAAAATTAACGGAATTAAATTGTATTTATGCCATCGGTGCCCGTAATCGCGCGATTCTAACCTCGCTTCGCTCGATTAAATCGCGGATTCCGGGCGCGATGACATAAAATTTTGTATGATACGCGTGCGTAATATACTATTTCAATTATTTAGGTCTTTGCGTAGGTTGGACTGGTCCCAATATCAGTTCGCGAAATTTCCATTGTCTACTTCGCATACACTGCACAAGAAAGTCGTATGGATTATTTTTTGTCTTTTAGGTCAATCGAAAGACATTTACCCTTTCTCCCCGATACTTTTCTAACATAACAACGATTATTATTCACTTTAACCGTCGACCCATCTTCACTCATCTCCATATCCTCGTAGTACGAACCCGAGTGGAAATTTTCGTCAAGTTCTAGTCAAGACTGGATCAGGTCATACTTGATAATTGATCCGGAAGTGACACGGTAACTGGATCAAATTTTGATCAGACATGTAACGCAAGTTTAAATCAAGACTTGATCAAACTTTTCTGATCCGGTTTAACAGTTCAGAATTTGATTCAGGATTTGATCAAGTCAAATGTATCTAAATCGGATGACTGGAATATCGAAAACAATAATAAATATTAACCATAACTCACTTAAAACAAAAGATAATTAATTTTTTTTATTATGCCAATGCTGGGGATCGAACCGAGGAACCTACGGTTACTAAACCTACGCCCTAACCACTAGACTACCGCACTATTGTTTTTGAGTAGATTCTTTTTACCTACACAATCTGCAAGGGAGTACTTGATGACTTTGAAATTATTGCATGTACATTCTGAGCGAGAAAACATATTCGGTTCAAATTTTATTTCATTATTAAAAGATAATTATAATAATCATAACACAATGAACAGATGCAAGTTTGATGATTTTTTTAGACTCAAGATAATGCGCTCTTATGTTTGATACTTCACTATATATATTGCCCTTGCTTCCTATACATTTGTGATTCTTTTTTATCGAGCTATTCAATTGAAAATCAAGGGAATTGAATCGGAAGGAGAACAAATTGTGTTGAGGCAGCTTGATCTCAGAGTGAGATCATGTTTATCTGACTTGCTGGGTCAAAACTTGGTCAGGACTTTATCAAGTGTCATCTGATCAGGCATGTTTGACCAGAACTTGATGTAAAGCCATTTGTAGTTTATGGGGTTCAATATACTGGCTCGAAACTTGATCAAGTTTTCATCAAGTGTCATCTGATCAGGCATGTTTGACCAGAACTTGATGTAAAGCCATTTGTAGTTTATAGGGTCCAATATACTGGCTCGAAACTTGATCAAGTTTTCATCAAGCGTCATCTGATCAGGCCTGTCTGATCAGAACTTGATCTAAATTCGCTTGTAGTTTTTAGGATCCGAAACGTTGGATCAAACCTTGGTCAGGTTCTGATCAGATCTTACCTGATCAAGCGAATCGCACTGAAACTGAATCAAGTTCTGATCGGACTTCAAGTAAACCTGAACTAATTTCCACTCGGGGAAGTTCGTACCATACGATATCTGGGCTCGGAGCTAACTCCCTCTAAACAGTACAATACCCCACAGATTCTCTCCCTAAAGAATTTACTACTCCTTCCAGACGGCCTTGAAAGAGGACAGAATCATAATGGTACCGGCAAAAGTGTTCATCGGAATGTATCTTTTTATTGGATGAGTATTGTGAGAATGAGTATTTTGATAAATTATATGATTTCTTAGGGGATACCCTCCTCCTCGTCCTCCCTTCTTCAAAAAACTATGTTTCTCGAAATACTCATGCTCCTTCTGAGAAATCGTACAAGTTTGCGACGTACCGATTTTACACTCGAAATTGCATACACAGAGAGGAATTTTCTAGGAATGTTCTATTACCAATGCAAATAATTATACTGCATGTTGATATAAATTTCCTCAGAATTTCGCGTACAAATCACTAGGGTTTTGTGAAATTTTCACGAAAGCCCAAGAAAAAATCACGTTATTTACATTCAGTACAGATTCGAATAGTCTTTGCCTCTCTTTGTCTTTGATCTCTTCAAGGGAAACTTCTTCGTAATCCTGACACGAATCATCCTTTTTATAATCTCCAAGACAGGTTAATGTGCTGGCAGTTTGGAAGTGATATTCCGTCAGGACGTAGTCCTTTCCTGGAGGAAGAGGAGATTTCAGGTTCATGTCACGAATTGTTCCCATCGTCAATTCGATAACCTGAGGTAAAAAATTGTAATCAGCAATAAACGGATGTGGGAAAAAAAATTAATTGCAAAAAAATGTAGGAATGAAAATGATGACAAATACTTAATGATAAATTAATGCATGAGAAATTTACCTGGTACATGGTAATTTGGCTTTGATATTTCAAAGCGTCTCCAGCCCATAGCAAGACTCTCATCCGTTTACCAGCACCATTGTTAAGAACAAATTTGAAAACTCGTTTCTGATGTGTTTTCAACTCTTTCATGCCTTCGATCGCGTCAACGTACCCGGTTAATTCCCTAAAATTTTGTTCATACATAAAATCATTTCACGTGGTTTTTTTTAGGTTAACCGAATTGACGGATTTCAATTTGTAATGAATATTGAAAAATATTTAAAAAATACTAACATGGCCGTGTCACCATCCTCAAAATTGTTCATCTCCTCAGTTGAAGTGAATTGATACTGCTCTGATGTCATTTTGTCACTTCGATTAAATTTGATAAGGAAAATTTTTTACTGCATGCGTGTTAGTGGGCTTCTTCAATAAACCGGAAATACAATTGGGAATGAAAGATCTTATGGAATCATTCGATATTCAGATTTATAAGATCGCTGGTAGGTGGCATAATTGATATGACATTAACAATTTCTGCAGGTAGATGGCATAATTAGCATCCTCTGGTGTTTTTTTAACTTTGATGAATGTGTACAAACATTTTTCATGTATAAAACAGGTCAGAAGATTCATTAATGATTTGAAATATTATAAATAATAAAACATTTATACTTACAGTGTATTATCCATATAAAAACTGGTAAAGTAGAGATTAAATTGTTTGACACATCATTTTTTATTTGTCACTGTACTTTCGATAATATAATTAATATGTAATTAAATTAATGAAATCAATTAATTTATAACCCGGCTGTTGTGATAACAAATTTTATGAGTAACTTGTTTCATTTCCATTTTGTACTAATTAACTCATCCTTCTACTTGATTTATTTGATACTTGAAATTCAAATTTTGCCGCTGTCAATGTATCTACCAATTACGAATAAGTGTTACGGAATTTCGATATGTTCGATTCGATTCGAGATTTGAGGTGTATGTCCATTTTATAAAAAAAGGAAAAGGATAGACCCAACGTCGAATTTTGTGCCACATCGACTCGTTTTACGACAATAGAAGCCAATAATATTTCATGTAATTCGACACAACATGCTAAGTTTGGCAACAACTCTGTTTGTAACAATTTGAAATCATAGATAATATTTTTTGGAGTACACCTTTTAAGAAACCTGGAATTTTGATGCAGCTGGTGCTTTATTGCGATCGTTTTACAGATGTTAATACGACTAACTGCAGAACGAGAGGCTGTTTTTCCCTCACTATGTTTTGCTTCGAACCTACATATTTTTTTGTACATATTTTCCATAAGGGACCGCGTAATCGCATAACTCTTGGATAGTGCAATACCAAATGGTGTTTAGGTTAGGTTGATAACAGTGTTAAATATTCAGTTATGATTGCTTCGAATATGTCAGGCACACGTTCACTAAATTGATAAACGATTACCATTATTGTAATTTCTCTCAGAGATGACAATAACTGTCAAACTTCGTCATCATGGGGAATGAAATGACCAATGATGACCGGTAAATTTACAATTAATGATAACATGAAGCACTCATATTTATGCACTTGTTCTTAGGTGACTCGCAACAATTTCTGCGCGTTTATGTTTAACCGATGAATAACAAAATTCTCCGATGAGATTGTTCAGCTCTGTAAGAGAAAAACATTTTTTCTTTATATTATAATTCAGTATCAAAGCCAAATCATACCTGCAAACCCTTCTAAACTATCGTGAACAACATCGACTGCTAAATTTTTAAGTGGATGAAAGCCCACGATACCTCTTACACGCATCGTTCCATAATTCCCGTTTCCTTAGGATCATTTTTTCGCAGATCATTTTCATAATTCTCTACTGCTTGCAATTCACACTCATCTTCTTCGAAAACTTTCTTTATCTCTTGATAATCTATTAAGCAAAAGCGACATATCTTCCTGGAATTAAAACATTCTCTGAAGCCCAGTAATTGATACATGGCTCAATTATCTGCAAGTATTAATACTAGTCGAAAGTATAACGCGTTTCTCCACTTAAATAGTTAATTGTAATCCTTTCAGTCTCTAAGAATTGTAATTCTTCTCGATTTTTATTAAAAATTTTATTAAAATTGAATAATAAAAATAAGAAAATATTTTCGAGTTTTGTACAAAATCTGGTAGGCAGCCCGGAAATAGAAACATAGACATCACTACATTTTGAAATTTCTCGGTGACTGCCCAAAGGGTCATTATTTTGGTAGTCGTCAATATAAAAAAATAAAGGTATGACAATTTTGTTTTCATCTTTTTTACTTAATTCTTTTCAAAGATCAGTTGAAATAAAATTACATATTATTGAGGAATCCATTTTTACTGAATCAATCTCAGGAAGTGTTTCTTCCAAAACTAAAAGCAATTCGAAAAAATTACGTAAAATATAACGTAAACGAATCGTTTGAGCAGTCACCGGGATTCTTATTTAATCGAGCAGATACGATTCTGGTGCAATGTAACTTCCACGGTTTTCAAATTCTTTAAGAATTTTATGCTCGGAATTTAACAATCTAATTGAAAATTGTATGCTTTGGAAAAATTTTTTAAATGCTCTGTGGCTTCCACTTTTATCTTTTCAATAGTTATCAATTCATGTGGATTAAATACTTTATCAAAATTGTTATATTATCCTGAAGTAAATCTTTTAGGAGATTACGGGTACCATGCATTATTTCGAGTGATTTAGATTGGGGAATGTCTGAATGACTATAAATCTTCGCTGCAAACACCAACCATTTTTGTGAAATTCCTGGCGGTAATGCATCGGATTGATTATGAAAAGTACTGCTTCGAAAATCGCCCGTTACATTCTCCCGTTGCATTGGTTCCTTTTCTTCCACGTTTTCGATTCCCTCAACCACGCCATTCACATTCTAAATTTCTTGACTCGCTAAATCATTTTCATCACTTTTCAATTTTTTGGGTGAAAACTGATCTTTTTGAAGTTGCGTTTTTCTTATATATACTCGGTCTATATGTGTTTTGAGTGAGTTAACCAATTTAAAAACTCAAACACGTGGTATTACCACAATGAAATCTGAGTGAACTAGAATGAAATAATCTTACATGACTAATATAAATCTTGGACGTATCAAAATCTAGATGACAAAGTTTGCAGGAATACATGGTGAATTTTAATGCGGGTTCGGATCACGATTCTCGTTAGGTTATTGTTTAATTTGTTCGATCAATTGCAGCACCTCCCTATTGCAACGATCGTCTGGCAAATCAATATTATACAGAGCTTTTTGTATAAACAGCCAAATGAGTGAATAGGGCATACACACAACTTAATGCAAAAAAAATTTTGAAAGGTAAATGTAAATGCTTTCAGAATGGTATCCACCTGATAGGTCGTTGGATCATCTATAGAATTATTGATGTAAATATAAAATATGACCAAACGAACAATGGAATCGACGACTAAAACTGGAATTGCCTGACGTGTCGTTCCTGCTGCGCTGCAAATCATTTGTTGATTTTCTAAAGCTGTATTGATATCTTGACCTCTTGTGAGTTTCTGTCGGGGCAGAGTAATCAAATATGTCAAGAGATGTAGCAGAATTGCATCTTTAACATGCTCTGTAAATCCTGGTAACAACGAATAAAGCCTTGTATCTTCTGGTGACAATTTTGAAGCAATTTTGCCGAGAGCACCAATGAGCACACCTCGTGTAGCTTCCCAACGATTTCGAAAAATGGTATCACGCCCAGGGTACAGCTCATCGAAATCACTTGACAGCTGTAAAATTATAATTAATAAAATTCAATGAAGAATTTAATGCATTACTGAATATATTAATTTCTTAATGGTTTGTTAAATCTCTGACCAATTATGAACCCAACACTGTGTTTAGGACAGGGAGTAATTCGTAATATTCATGGATGCTAATGCCTTCACGCGATCGTACTTTCCTCAATCTTCGTGAGGCGGTCCAATTGCTACTCACATGTGCTGCTGGTTTGAGGTTTACTGATAGCCAGTTAAGGGCTTCTTCTTCCATTTCTACAGAACATTTTTTTTTTCAATATGCGATAGATTTTTTTTAGACTTTTGTTATATCTCATTAAATATGAAATTATGTCAATATCAGTGAATTTACGAGGAAATATGGATATACTTTTTTAGCCGAGGAGAAGAATAAAAATTAAAAATATGTCGATGTAATTTTTCCTAGGATGGATCTTTATCAAAATTATTCAATATTTAACAAATAATAAAAATTGAAAAAAAAATTAAATAAATTTACCAGTTGGATTCACGTTGTCCACCGGCACGGGGATGTCTACTCTCTTCACTAGATGCTGATTTTTCAATTTACCTTGTAAATATACGTAGTGATCATATAAAATGTTACTTGGATTTTCTTTCCGTCGTTTGGATAAAATGCTTCCATTGGGTTGGTGTACTTGCATGAGCTATGACGTGAAGGGTTTGTAATCTGGCATATTCGCCTGGAAACACGATTGCAATGTCAGTTGCCCAAGACTCGAACTTAGCTTTAGTGATTTTAAAAATCAGATGATATACGATTCAATTAATGAATACCAAGGAAGGATCTTTGAAGAATTTATTAATATTTTAAATTACTTCAATTGTTCCACTCGTTCACCCCCCGGCTCTCGCAAAATTGCAGTCAGCTGTCGATCTTTCTCTCGAGTTATGACTTCACGGTTAAGCAAACATCTAATTCGCTTATGCAGAGTTAAATTTTCTTTATAATATGCGATTACAGCCTTCTCATTTCTAGTTCAGTTCAGAGTTTGATAAATTGCCTGCAAGGAATACGATTTTACAAGGAAATATTGAATGATATTTTTCTAAAGACCGCAGAACTTTTAACAAAACAATTATTTAATAATTATTTCTAAAATGGACTGTTGCATTGAAAAAAAAAATTAACTCAGTCAAAAATATGAATGTTCACTTGTCCAGAATTTTCTCCTCTCACAAATGTTATTTCCCACTCCAAAATCAAGAAATAGTAGAAAATGAATGAACAAACATCGATAAAAGAACACACTGAACCAACTTACATTGTTTCGTATATTTGGAGTATCGAAATGTGCATTGCAGTCCTGAGAAAAACATTAGCAGTTAAGTAATAAGTTTTAAAAAATGATTGAAACAGCAAAGTATTAGAAAGTTATTTCAAAATTTTTATCCCTGTTTAATAGTTTTTTGGAAAAGAATTAGACATGATAAAATGTGCATTAACTTGTTTTAATAAAAACAGATTAATAAATATTTAGGTCATGCAGAACAAGACAAATGGAGAAAATGAAGATGATCTCGTGTTACATGGATTACCATTTTCGTGAAAAATAGAAAAATGGGGGAATTAATTACAATACTCTAGAAATAACGGGACGATGGGATCAGATGATCCAATCACAGAGG